ACAGTGGCTCTGCGAGCTCATGAGCACATTCCTTAAGGACGCGAGCAGAAATACCGTCAGGCCCGGTAGCCTTGGAGACGTCGAGCCTTGCCAGGAGTCGGCGGACAGCCTGTGGGCGGAAGCGGATGGTGCGAAGAGGTGGAGCCTCTGAGGGAGCAGGGTCCGGTAGGTCAGCCTCCACAAGGTCCGGACCGGCAACGCTACATTTCTTCGAGAAGAAGCGAGCGAATGCCTCTGCTTTCTCTGAGCTTGTTGCCCACTCACGGCCGTCAGAGTCGACAACTAGGGGAATTTCGGGCTGTGTGCGGTTGTCAGCAGCGTTCTTCAACTTCGTCCACCACTGTTTGTCTCTGAGGGACCCAGTTGAGAGGCTGCGACGGAGGCTGTCCTCCTTTGCACGTCGTGATCGGAACTGGGTGGCGATCGCTACAGTCACGGAATCGGTGAATGCCTGCTGAAGTGCTGGGTCAGAAGGGTGTTTTCTCCAGTCGCGCCAGCGCTTCTCCTTCTCCCTCTCGGTCTCTGTGCATTCAGGCGTCCACCATACCGGATCGGAAGGCCTCGTTTCCAGAACTTTGGATGGGACAAACTGTGCAACAGCTGCAGTAATCGAAGCGGTAACCTGCTCACAGGAAGTTTCTGGGTCCTCCGTGATGATATCACCCCATTCCACGTTGCGAAGGTGCGCCCTAAGGCGATCCCAGTCTGCCCTGTTGTAGCGAAATACTGTTCGCTTAACAGGGGGTTCACGTCTAGGGAGCACGGAAGAAAAGTCTGACAGTACAACTGCATGGTCAGATCGACCGAGGGGCGGAAGTATACGTGTAGTTACTGGGGACGTGAACGTTGACATTATGAGATCTAGCGGGTTGTCTCCACGAGTCGGTACTGTGACATGCTGGACAAGAAGATGGGCAGCGCAGGTATCTTCGAGAGCCTCGCCTGCAGGCGTAGATTTCGAGCTGTTCAGCCAAGCCCGGTTGTGCACGTTGAAATCGCCAGCTAGGATAATGTGGGAACCTTGTGTCTAGCTTCTGGGAGGATGTTGTCGAGATGATCGATTAAGGTAAGATCGCCAGGGGCACAGGACCCTGGCCGATACACTGCTCCCAAGACGGTGCGGAGACCTGGGGCCAGCTGGAGAGAAACCCAGATGATCTCATGTGCGGGGGACATGAGGTCAGGGATGAGCATGGAGGGGAGTGACGACTTCACCCAGATGGCTACCCCTCCCCCATGTGCCGTTCTGTCCAACCGAAGTGGTGAGCTGTATCCAGGGAAGCTGATGTCAGAGGGAAGCACTTTCTCCGCAGTGAACTTCGTTTCTGTCACAATTGCTACGTCGGGCTGATGCTGCAGGAGTGCGTGCTGTAGGTCGGGAAGTTTGCTGGCTAGGCCGAAAGCGTTTGTGCAGAGAATGCGAAGATTCTTGCTACCCTTCATTGCAGGAGGAAGTAATTAAAAAAGGGGAGGGACATTTGGCGTAAGCGGGTGCATAGTTACATGTATGGCTAAGGGTCCTAAAATCTAATGAAATACCTAAAAGGATCAAGCTAAAGATAAGAATGAGGAAGCTGGAGGAAGACACGAGGTTGACGTAGGACAGGGAAAACCAGATTGTGTTTGTATACCTAGGGCTACACAGGGGGAGATGTTATCTGCGCCAAGTTATCTGCTTGTTGCTTGACGCAGTGATCTTTTTCGCCTTCTTCTTTCTCTGGTTATCACTGGAAACTACCAATGGGGAGGTCGACTCCCGCGGCCTCTTGTGGAAGCAGTCTGCCAATATCGCCAATGCTCTAGCCTCATCGCCCCCTGAGAGTTTCCCCTCAGGTGGACAGTCCGACTCCTCGGCCCAGCTGCTGTCAGGAGACAGAGTCAGGTCAAGTTCCACGTGGTTGCTTTGTTTATCATGCTCAGGTCGCATTTTGACAGTTACGGCAGAAGCTGAGTCTTGGCTGCCATGTGTACCCGTGCCCTCCTCCAGGGGTCTCGAGTCGACCTGACCAGCTGGAGAAGCGCCCAGGCTCTCGTGTTGTGGCTGATCCTCGCGCGCTTTGTCTGCACCGATGACCTCCTGGGGTCCCGATTTGACTGCAGAGGCTAGGCTTTCAGGCAGTGGCTGATCCTCGCGCCCTTTCTGGGGTCCCGATTTGACCCTGTTAGCGTACGTTCCACGAGGGGTGCGTGGCCTGGTGGGGCAGTCCGCGGCCAGGTGACCTGGGGACTCGCATACCCTACAGGTGCGTGGTTGATCCTTATACCGTACGGCAAAGACGTGACCCCCTGCCGTTTGAACGTACGATGGAATGGAGGGGCATTGTTTCCCTAGTTTGAAGCTTAAAAAGCGTACCCCAGTTGTAACATCGAAGCCATGCTTTGTGGTGACTTGCCCGTATCGAACTGTTGAAGCGGGACTACCGTACGGTTTGAGAGCGTCCGTCAAAGCAATGTCCGAGATCCAGACAGGGAGGTCAGATATATGCAGCTGGAGGATCGAATCCAGTACGTTTGAAACCAAAATTGTCTTATCCAGTAGAGAAAAGCCCTCCCGAACAACACGCTCTAGACTCGCAGTGGACATGAAGGTTACAATGCACTCATGCTGTGAACTTATCTGAACAGATGTGAGGTCGTCGTATCCAGCATCTCCCAGTGCATTCGCGACATCCACCACTTTGGTCCCCAGTGGGCAATCGAATTTCCCGGACGTCTCTCGCATCTGCTCCGAGGTCAGTGCCATCCATCGGGGTCTCGAGTTACCAGTGCTCGCCATGATTGGTGGTTAGGTTATAAGGGCACGCCCTAGATATGCTTTATAAGGATCCAAAAACTACCACATTCACAAAAGGATGCAGAGCTCTCAAAACTGCATCCGCTCTTGCTTGGTACATCTGTACTCCTTTATCGAAGCTGTATATTGTTTACTGTGGTTTCGTGTTGTTTTCTTGCTTCTCCTTCTTTGTGTGTGTGTCTTGTTAGTTTTAAATGTGTCTGTTCACATTCTAGTATGGTCCCTGACGGTTTGAAACTCTAATCCATCACTTAAATCATTACATTGCTATTGGCAAAAGAGCTCAATCTTACACGGGCAATTCTAGACTGGGCGAGAAAACCACGTCTGAACGTGCGCCCAATAATTCAAGTGATGCAATCACAGTTTTTCCAAGAAGTATATTAATTAATATTGAAAGAACGCGAATGTCGCGTGGCTGGGGCGTAGTGTCAAGAGAAACATTTTAAAACGTTTTCCTGTGACGATCTTTAGTTCGAAAATACATCACAATAGGGAATACAAGAAGAAACATGAAAATAATGTGAATTAGAAACTTATAAAGATGGACTCGGATGGAGAGCCAAATATTTAAAGCACGAAAAAAAGAAGCCAGTTAGTTAGATGTGGAAAGTCAGTACCGTTGATCTGTGTCATGCAATGATTTAGTTATCGCATGAGCTGACTGTCAAGTAACCGGTGGTGTTAGTGGAAATTATAGCCTAGCTCATAGTTCATTGGTCCATTGTTCTTCCTTTAAACACATGACATTGTACTTGTACTTCAACCGTCTTCAAGTATGTGAAACAACTGCATGTACATGTAGGTTGAACAGTCCTCACGAGCAAGACAAGTATTGCTACGGGTATTACTTTCTCGTTTCACTCGATTAGCTTTGTGAGTAAACCCGTTTGCAAATAGGGAAAATTACGGTGGATGGGTGAAACAAATGAAATGAACTTTTCGAGTAACGTGTGAAGAAGAAGTTGGTGCGACTTCGTTGATTTAACACGCCGGAGGTCTTCTTCTACGTTTCGTTCTTCTCATCATTGCATTCACCGTCACCACCATTATCACCCTCATCACCTTCCGAGCTGTAAATTTACTTACCAAGTGATTACCTTAGTCGCCCGAATATTGCCCCTGGGGCAATATTTTTCCAAAGTCTATCACAGATGAGGCAATATTCCACAGAGGGCACCAGTTCTTCAATGCTGGTACATTTACATGTACGTCATCCAGCAAGGACCAGCATAAAGACGAAGAAGGCTAAGTAAAACAACGCTTATTGTTTACTGTAAACTATCACTCTACAGAAACGGTAACAATATCTGTGATATTGATACTGTAATCACCAGGGGATTGAGATTGACAAGTACATTAGCAAAAGAACACCAAACTTGCCCATCAGCTTGGTTACAATCGCAGGGGGCTCGGGGGGGGGGGGGGGGGGGGGGTGGGGCACTATTCATGATAGGGCGTTATTTCTTCACCGGCTTTCAGAGACTGGGCACTATTCGATAGAGGGCTCTAATCGAGCAAGTACGGTATTCACAGGCTTTTTTTGAACGGGTCCCTCGGGCTTTGCATGGAGAAGGCTTTCCCCAAATTCGGCTATTCAAATTAGATTCGGCTGCAAAATCATCTGACTGTTCGAAAATCGGCTGCAACATTGGAGAATAATGGAAAATCAGCTAAAAGAATTGTCGAGGTATTGGCTTCGAATTTGGTGAGGTACAGGACGATTTTGTTATTATAACACATTTTATCAAAAAACAATGTGAGAGGAAAACACTGTAGCTGTGCATGTATCTAGATCCACACTTTTTTAGGAATGAGTTTGCTCCCACACTGGAGCTCGCGCTAATCCCCCGACTTGACTTGACACTTGACTGACCCACGACTGCCATCCAGAGCACACGAGAAGCCCACGGAATAGCGCGAGAGCTCCAGAGTGTGGGAGCAAACACATTCCTAAAAAAATTATCCCCAAAGTCGCAACCACTATTTCGCACTGTAGATCTACACTTGATGACAAAATCCGTTCAGTTCCCACACTAGTAGATCTACCGCCAATAGCCCGGCTGCGGATCAGATTGGTTATGTATAATTATGTCTCGCCGCCAGCGCTGAAAATGTGAAATGCAGTCCATTGTCAGAATGTGCTCAGTGTCAGTGCCCGGGCCTGGGACTAGACCGACAACAGTAGACTGTGTGAACAATCAGGTTTCAGTAGTACGCGATAGGGTGTAGGGTGCACTAGTGAGGGCGCTTGCGTTTTTCACTGCTCCGACTCAGTTGAGTACTCCAGTTTCATCTCAATTATTTTTATCTTCAGTCTTCACAGCGACTGGCGGATGTATAAACGAAATTATGACTTGTGTATCATTGCTTCTGTGGACCATTAGTTCCCAGCCTTTTAATATAAACGGCGCCGGCTTTGCTGTGCTCCGAATAAGTAGCCTTTGCCGTTCCGTGCTCGCACGGGGAATCCTGTGAATTATGAACGTTGTTTTGGAATTGTCAGAGAATATTTTGATGACTGGAATGGCGCTCAATGCCACTCGACTTCAGGATGAAGTCGTGTAAGACTCAGGGTAAGTGGGACATTTTCATGCTAGCCTTGTTGTTTTATTACGAGTACAGTAGCTACGACGTTTGGTTTTGGGCCTCTACAAGCAAGCGGTGGTGGGCTACATACGAGTACAGCACAATGGGAATGCACAAATAAATGTCGAGAAAACAAAATTAAATGTTAATACCAAAAAAGTAGGCGAGGGGTTACGGGAGAGAATTTATGTTAACATATTTGAGCCGCACCATGGCAAAAGGGTGCTTATGGCGAAAATGTCACAAACTGAGTTATGAATACACCGCAATGGCTGAATTCTCACTGCTTGTGTTGCAAAAACCGCATTCAAAAAGCTTGATAAATCGCAATGAAACTGATCGAATTCAAAAAGAAAATGTGTACTCTCAATATTGCGTACTCAACTTTCAAACGAGTTTTTCGCAGTTTGATGTCGCGTGCCATAAGCACCCTTTTGTGATGTCGCGGCTCATTTTGAGAAAAATTCGTTGGGCTGCATGGTTCATGTTATTAGGCACTTCACCCCATTTTTTAAATCAGGCTTTTTCCAGGTTTATCATCGGTAATCGATGGTGGTGGGTATCACAAGGCCATACAGAAATTTTTTTTGAAATCCACAGTGATACCACTGAGATATGAGCCCGGATCAGCAAAAACCATCGCTTGTGTTTGATATCAAGTTGATCAAAAAGTGACGTTGAAGTCGAGCGAAAGAAAAGTCGCGGACCTAACAACTACCCACCACCTTTCTGTCTTTCTTGTCACTAGTCTTTCTTTCCGCCTGACAAGCCCGTGTTTGTTTGTTTGTCAGTGACTAGCTAGCTAGGCAAGCCCCAGGCAAGTGAGGAGACACGGATGGGAAACCCCACGTACCTGAGCTTGGCTGGAGAATAGGTACGATCGCGGGGCGCGAGCATCGCACGCGCATCGATCGTCGTTGGCTGGAGAATAGGTACGATCGCGGGGCGCGAGCATCGCACGCGCATCGATCGTCGTTGACGCCAATCACGACACGACATTTTTTGGTGATGACTGGGATGGCGATTGCTAGTAAGTTTGTCGGATATCGACAGTGACGATGCAGAGCAAAGGCGTCTCGATTCACGACTGGAAGTGCAACGAGAGCTAGCGCCAGACAAGATCTGCTTCGTTGGCTTGGACACTGAGCAATGTTACTCGAAACATTTATTTGGTCCATGCAGCAGCTCCCAAAATATTTCAAAAAATATGTTCCTGTAGGGTCAGGTAACCGTTGAATGTATCTGCACCTAGTACGTACCTCATGCTCATGAGCCTGTGTGCTAAGTAGTCACAGTTGCTGTGATTGCACTCCGTGTGTGCAGATATTTTTTCATGGAAGTGAAGGGCTTGGAGAGCATCAGTACAGAGCCTGGTGTGGATGCAATATCAGCCCCTGGAACTTGGCCATATGCCGTTAGCTGCGCGATAGTCAGTGAAGCCAATGATTTACTTGGACGAGCCAGTGTCTGAGTACACCCCCCCCCCCCCCCCCCCCCCAGGACTATAAAATTCCTCCTTGTTAGCCGGCTGAGTGATGGCAATGCCTAACAGGATCAGACACGTACCAATGCTCATACTTGCATCCTACACAGAAATGCCACTTCCAACATTTGTACAGAGATGTGGTGTACCGCATTTTTTGGTCACTTACGGTGCTGTGATTGATCTAAAATTTCTTGAGACTGGTTATCAGTGGTTGTGGATCAATTTGGAGCACAAAATATTTTTCGAAAATTTTGCACATGTGATGGTTTTTGCTGATCCAGGCTCATATGAAGGGTTGAAGATAGGCAATTGCATAAGGCGAATATCGATACAATTTGTGGCACCAACAGCATCTCCGGAGTATTAGCAGTGGATGTAGTCACAAAACATCCGAATGTTTTTTTTCAAGCACACATCACTCACTTACACCAAGAGTTCATAAACCCCAAGAGTGTGCAACTCCAGCTATGGGGTCTGTAACGGCAGAACTTCACATCACGTGATGAACCCGTACACATTATTTGCACTCTGTGCATGATAGATACAGGGTTGTACGCAACCCAGCTTTGGGTACAACTCTCTTGTGGTCACTTTGCACTGTTTGCCAGCATAACCTTTTAAACCATGTCACGTGATGTGAAGTTCTGCCGTTGCAGCACAGCATAGAGGTTGTGCAGGCAGTTGCACACTCTTGGGGCGTCAGGCGAAATTACTGGTCAGTCGGCGACACCCATTTTTCACAAAAATTTGCATTTCACCTGCTGGGAGAGTATACGTGTACTCGAGTCTCATCCTGAGCACGTTTTTTTTTCTTCTTTTTTTCAGCTCCAGTATAGCTGTATTTTTCATTGCAAAGCCGTCCTCGATTGTTGTGTTCGTTGTTCAATCGAAGTGGACATTCAATCATGAAGGCAGAGGACATAGGAGCCTGATTAGAGTTTCTCGTGGCATAGGACGGCCACACAGAGACACTTTGGGATTTTCGGAATATAAAATACCGTACGCACGATGCTGAGATCAATTTGTGCGATATCAAATTGTTTGTGATCTACCACATCGAGCAGAACGGGATCCAAACACAAGCTTACCGACGGTTAGGCTGCCGACCTGACTGGACAAATGATCCCTGGCTTCACCAGACGCCAGGTAATCGATGGTGGTGGGTATCACAAGGCCATACAGAAAATTTTATTGAAATCCACAGTGATACCACTGAGATATGAAGGGTTGAAGATAGGCAATTGCATAAGGTGAAACCGATACAATTTGTGGCACCAACAGCATCTCCGGAGTATTAGCAGTGGATATAGTCACCAAACATCAGAGTGTTTTTTTCAAGCACACATCACTCACTTACACCAACAACCGTTTATGGATCGAAACAATACAGATCAAAGTTCAGAATAGTCAAGAATACGGCAATTTTGACCACAATCACTATAGCAACTCCATAGCAACCCATAGTAACCCATAGTAACAGCTTCAGTTTGCTGTGAAATTAACTGATATAGTCTGATAACGATATACTCGCAGGCTACTGCTCTTACGTAAAGCGAAAGAGCTATAAAAACATTCTTCTGGCACAAAAACAACAGAGAACTTCCATGTTGTACGCCGTACGCTGCGAAGTGGACGGTAAGTATGCGCGCGCATTACTGCACAGGACACTCGTGCCCACCGTCATGCCACTTCAAGTGATTCCAAGTTGGCAAGAAGTTCCTCAGGACTTCTGTTGGTAGCTTCTTTCCATGGTGTGATATCTGCCTCCCTGTCCATCAACTGGTCCATGAAGTAGTCATGAATTGCCTGCTGTTGAGCGTTGAAATTTTGGTGCAGCGTACCTGGCTGCGTATATCAAAGCATCCCCTCATCGGAGGGTTTCTCCGGCAGTCACTGTGCCTTTTGGTTGTTCGTAAACATCAGTAGGCCTTCCAGCGCAACAGTGTCAAAGCTCGGCTTTCAGTACACTTTGAGGATTCGCCCAGGTAGGACGACGCATCGTCGTTCTCCTCCGCCTAAAGCGCATACTTCTCAGTGCCTATGTCCATAATGTCTCCTTGCGCAGCCATGCGCAAACCCTGGTAAACAAGAACTCAACTGTTTCCGAATGGAAAGACGACGCTGAAGACGAAAAGCAACGTTTCAAACGCGAGCAAACAACAGTTCTTTGTGAAAAAACACTTTGCTGGATGTGTACGTGATCTACAACTCGCGAAAATGTATGCACTATGACGTATGTGAGATCTACTGAAAGCTGAACGTCAGAGCAACACGATGCGCCCAACTGTCAGTGGGTCCAATGTTATTATTTATGTTATTCCAATGTTATTAGGCATTTTACCTGTTTTGATTTCCACTATAAATAAAGTATACAACAACAACAACAACAACAACAACAACAACAACAACAACAACAACAACAACAACAAGAACAACTGTCAGCCCGTACAACGAAGTATAGCGTATACCTGTACAGTTTTGCGCATGTACTTGACTGGTGCCACGCAAGTACGCACTCTCACCTTAGCAAAATTTGACAGGTCCTGTCACGTGACTGAAATGCCGAATATTATGTCATTCCTAAATTTTCAACACGCATTTATTTCACATAATGGGAAACACATGCTCCATACTTCAAGCTCTGTCGTCATTGAATATCGCTAACATGTCTGCAAGTCGAGTAACATCACCTTTTTATTTTTTAGCTTTAGTTCTTTTGAGAGGGAGTAGGTTTCGTAGCCGTGTTCGACCCTCAGTTGATAGGGATCTTGTGAACTGGCACGAGGGAAACATGCATGCAGTGAACGGGATTTTCGGTCTTTGTCATCTTTGTAGTGGATCTGATCTACTCACCTCCCACCGCTTAGGAGTAGCATCTGCTGTGCCTTGATCCTGGAGGGTGGTGGTGTTCCTACGCACGCGGAAAGCTCGGCTTCCATGTGAGCTGTGGCCGTAAAAAGCCATAACCCAGTAAAATGCCCACTATCCATGCACTTGTCCAGGTCCTATGCGCCGACACTCAGGCAACGCTTTCTAACCCACCTCCATGTGAATTCCAATGGGCGAAAACACTGGCACAGTACATAGTGCAGTGCACATACAGTTCCAAGTGCATGTGCATATAATGATACAACAGTACAGTTTCAAGGGTGCAATGTGCACTGTGCTTGCCTTGATTTGATAACAAATCTGAAGATTAATGGCCGTACTGTAGACCTTCGCTGACATTCCTGTCCAGGGCTTTGTTACGGGCTTTAAAGGGGAAGTTAAGGCAAAAATCAAAATTTTACCAGTTGTAGTCTTCGGGGTGCTGAGTCGAATGGTCTTGGTCCGAGAAAGCTGAGACGCTCCCTTCCTACTTGAATCCCAATCGAACTCGCGCACTTCCACCGAAACTGGATGACTGCGCCCTACTAGATGGGGATTTGTATGCAAAATCTCACTAAAAGCGCCGTTTCGTTCTTATAAAAGCACAGATGACCGCGCTTGGCCCATATGTTGTAGTCTTTTGGACCCTGAGTCGACTGGTTTTGGTCCGAAAAGGCTGCGATGTAGCGTTCCTCCTTTATTCCCAATCGAACATGGTTGAACAAGTGGTCACGTGCTCCTGGGTGCCCAAAATCACCTGGTCACCACGCCAGCAGGCGACAACTTTCACACCAAGGTTCAACTCGAGTTCAACTCAAGTGACAGGACTGCACCCAAAAAAGGTCAAACATGCTAGTAAGTTGTACCCTGCAGGCACGGTGACCAGCTGACTGGTGTACGCAGGAGCACGTGACCGCTTGTTCAACTATGTTCGATTGGGAATAAAGGAGGAACGCTGCATCGCAGCCTTTTCGGACCAAAACCAGTCGACTCAGCGTCCAAAAGACTACAACATATGGGCCAATCGCGGTCATCCGTGCTTTTATAAGAACGAAACGGCGCTTTTAGTGACATTTTGCATACAAATCCCCATCTAGTAGTGCGCAGTCACCCAGTTTCGGTGGAAGTGCGCGAGTTCGATTGGGATTCAAGTAGGAAGGGAGCGTCTCAGCTTTCTCGGACCAAGACCATTCGACTCAGCACCCCCAAGACTACAACTGGTGAAATTTTAATTTTTGCCTTAACTTCCCCTTTAAGCATGTTGTAGAATTTGATCTCGATAATTATGTCAAGGCATTGCGGTAATGTTGAACTCGAATGGTGAGCCAAATTCATTATGATAAAAAAAAGGAGAAGGACAAAGTGTTACGAGTTATGACAAACTGTCCACCAACGTACCGAATTTCAGTGCTGGCACAGTACAGCGCCTACCTAGTGAAGACTTATCACCAGCAAGTCGCTGACGAAGAAACTGAAGCTCATGTCGATATCTCCAGAAAGTGAGACCGATCCGGCGAACACACTTTGAATCTCACAGAGAACTGGGAAAATTAGCTAATCAAAGTAAACACAAAGTCCTGAGTGCAACCCTCGTGCAAAAGACTTTCAGAAACCTAGCCGAAAATACTGGTGCAAGGCGTTAGGACTTGGGTGCAGTATGCACAGGTGCTGCATCAAGCGTAAGCTATCACTGCGCCGCATGCACAAGCACAAGCGGCTCGCGTGGAAGCTGACCAGCAAGTATGACAAGAGCAAGAGACGATTTGAAAAAAAGGGCTCTGCTGATGTTGCGTTGCCTTTTTGTCTCAAACAAAGGCAATACTGCGACGGACAGGGATATTACTTGCAGCCAACATGCGGGCAGTCTCACTCGGTTTCTGAGCGGCAAGGTGACAGGTACGCACTGCCTTTGAGTGTGATTCGAGAAGTGGAGAAGAGGAACAAGCTGTGAAACATGCAGCAGCTGTCCGGAACGAATGTTTTGAGCTCTTCCTTCAGCGACGATAGTGCCGAGGAGGATGTGTAAACAGTAAATACTTGCTTGAATTTTTGGTTGACTTGCTTACTGACTTGTCAATTATCTTGTACTGGATGTAGAACAACCACTTGGGGCTCAAGCCTATTTCAATATTGGCACTCTAAGATCAGTTGTAAGAAAAGGCATTGCAAGGAATCTTTCAGGATTCACGGTCTCCGAGCTAATGTTGTCCTTGGCCTTCTCGCGGGTATAGTGCGGTACTGACTCGTCTAATATTTGATAGAAGCATGGGGTATGTGGGTGTATCCCGCGAGAGATCTCTGGGTGATCCTCAAAGGATGAGTCAAGTTGCATTTCAGGATGGCTATCCTCAACAGAAGTCTATGTTACCCAGCGCGTTGCTCCAGTTTGCTGGCACTGTTTTCACGGTCCCACCTACTACCATCAGAACTGTTGTCCTTGGCCTTCTCGCGGGTATAGTGCGGTACTGACTCGTCTAATATTCTCGTATAATATTTGATAGAAGCATTGGGGGGGGGTATGTGGGTGTATCCCGCGAGAGATCTCTGGGTGATCGTCAAAGGATGAGTCAAGTTGCATTTCAGGATGGCTATCCTCAACAGAAGTCTATGTTACCCAGCGCGTTGCTCGAGTTTTCTGGCACTGTTTTCGCCGTCACACCCACTATCATCAGAACTGACAGCAACTTCACCATCCTCTCCACACTTAGCCTGGAAATTGCCTAGCTCCATAACTCTTGCAAGTTCCATGATACGATTATCATTCATTGAATCATCAGATTACTCCTCCATTTTACTGTCCATGTTCAGATCAACGAGAAGTGGTGAGCACACAATCATACTCTATCCCTGGGCACTGGGTATACAAAACTCAGTTCACAGCTGTATTATAATGATGCACTGAATTTAGTTGTGAAATTGCAGTGCGCCGTGATTGAGAATGTGCGCTCCCTACTTTTCTTTGAGTCATGAAGCTGCTGGTTGCATCGCCCCTATAACATACATGTTCAGATTGCCAGTAATCGGTGGTGCACCGACAATGTTCTGTAGTGTGCTTGAGTTCTCAATAACATCCTCAGCTTCCACTAGAGTCATTATTCCTGACCCTCTTTCCAGAAAGGACTTTGCTACTATAGACATTCCCATCTGCAAAACCGCAGAACAGCTAAATCGATATTATCAGGCTAAAGGGCAACCACATGGTGGGGGAGGGGGGGGGGGGGGAAATAGCCAACTAAACAGTCCATGTAATGAATTCAATAGTCACAACTAATACCTGGGTGTCTGGTTCCCTGTCTATATTATTTTTTATGTACAGGACTGTTAGACTGACTTGATTTCAAGCTGTTATGGGAACTATTCAAAGGTGGATGGCTATCGATCGCATACTCAGTTCACCAACTCAGCTGGAACGGATATGGCTTCGCTGGGATGCCCAAGGAAAAGAGTTGCTAGTATTCTCTGCACCTGCCCCCAAGATTGTCAACGCAGGCGCTTAGCACCGCCGTTGGGGGTGGTCCGGCAAGAAGGGGTCCAGGGGTGAAGTTCGGGTGCAAATTCCCGCATTCTGTGCACTTTTGGCCGTGAACAGGCGAAAAAGTTCTACGAAATGCTGCAAACTGAGCTGTTGTGAGTTGAAGCAAGAGATGGCATCGAATTTATACAGGTAAGTTATGGCACGTGTACATTTCTTTTTCAATGTTCCACGAGGGCTCTTCTTCTAGCGTTCTGTAGGGTATATTGTAGTCAATGCCATGTCCTGTATGATGTTCTGATGAAGACAGTACTTCATGACATACTCTGGTTGTTTATTGCGAATATATCATGTATAATCTTGACTTAGCTCCGTATTATATGGTTCGTGTGTGTGTGTGTGTGTGCCTGCATGCGTGTGCGTTTGCATGCGCCGGGATGTTCATGTGGACGTGCATGTGCAATCATGTTGCTGTGTTTGTTGCCCCGTAGGTAATCCCATTGCAAGACCAGTGTCTGCATATACTCATAGCCAGCTGCTACCAGTCATGTGATGAGATTAGTTCGCCTTCTACGCTACGTCTGAGTCGTGTGCAGAAAGTGTCAGACGCCAGCAGTGTACCACTTTGCTATGCGACCATAAACATTGCAGAGAAAGGCTACCAGAATGTCCCTGTTCACCCATCTTCTACAGCCACCATCGCTATTCTCTGTGGTGTGGGCCAATGCTCTCCCACGGGAGCTAACTTGAGCATCACTCTCCAGCACGTAAAACAGAGACTGGTTACCGTGGTAGCAAACACCACTTACTACGCGGAACACAATGTCCAGAAAACGATCGCGGATCCTGATTGACTACAGTATCTAAACCCGATACACTGAAACGCATTCCATCACGTACATCACACGGCCAACGTTGTGTATCTCCGATCACAAGATGCGTGTGCTGCTGGCCTAGACCATCTAGAGGAGCTTTCCGAAACCCAGATGTCATGCTCGACCGTATCCTCATCGGCTATCTTCACAACCTAGTGAGGGATGTCGGTGTCGGTGGCTAACGCGACCGTGACGTATCTATCCAGGCTTTCAACAAGGTGAGTGATGTGACCTGTGTTACACTGGGTGCAACAGTGTGAGGAAATCATGTGTGCATGGGTGCGTGCGCGTGTATTTATGCGTGTCTGCAGGAATGTGCGTGTGTTTATGTTTGTGCTCTCTGCGTGTGCTTGTCCTCTGTGCGTATGTTTGGGAAAGAGCCTATACGTGAGTGTCTGCCTTTGTGGGGTATTACATCAAGACATTCCCAGCAGTAATTTTCAGGAAGCCTTCATCGTGCGGAGACTACGACCGTTTGACCCTTTGAGTTTTTTTGTGAACTTGTGGCCTGGCATGTGGGAAACATGGATTCAGCAAATTCGATTTTCAGTTCTTTGACCACTTTGCTGGTGGGCTGATCTAGTCACCTCCCACCGCTTTAGGAGCTGCACTTGCGGTTTAAATCTTTGCAGGTCGATGGCGTTCCTACGGATGCGGAGGATTCAGTCAAATTGAGTCTCAAGTGAAATGTGACATTTTGTTAACTGGTACCGTATTTGCCGGTGTATAGTGCGCACCGTGAGCAGTGAATTTTGAAGCTCAAATCTGCAGTGCGCACTATACACCGAATACGAGAATCTAGTACAAAAGTGTTAGAGTTCAAGAGTTCAAGTGCGCACCACACGTAAAGCCCTGTGTCGTACGGAGCGAGTGAGATATCCTGATTGGTCCTGGGACGAAACACCTTTGTTTTCATGTTCACAGTTCGTACTTCCATTCATTTCAAAGTCATATTCTGACTTACTGGAAAATATTCTTGAGTTTCACCGTCCTTTGACGAGGTCAATTTCAGAACCAAATATTCCCGATTTGACTGCGCGTTATACACTCACTAGAGCCATTTTGTGTGAATTTGTGGTTGAAGATTTGGGGTCAGTTGTTGTGACGTCTGGTTGAAAGCTACACCTCTTGGCAGTAAGTAGGACTTTGCATGCTTATACCGGGAAAATTACATCCCGGTGACGGCTGTACATGGACAACACGCAGGTATCTGTGCATTGTGCTTGTCTGACTATTTGAACTGGTACTAGGACATCTGTTGTTCATGATCGATTCTGTACTCTAGTTCCAGAATGGATATCCTAAAAGGATTTTTGTCATCTTCTTTCCCGTGTCTTTGCATGTGCTTTCACGTGCTGACATGTGTATTTGAATGTGTGCCGTGGTGTGTGTTTGCGGATATGTGGAAATATGTGTATGTGTGTCGGTGTGATGAACATGTTCCTATTGCTTGGTATTTTTGTTCAGCACTGCTACACTAGCAGGCAAATTGCCAGTGCCAGAAAGGAAGACATGCTGTGCCCTATATTGTTGTGCCTTAGCCCACAGCAAGGTGCAAATCTACAGCCGAATAAGGCAAACCATCACAAGATGCTGACGTGCTTGACCCAATACTCACCACATAGGTAAACTGTGAGATAAACTGCGCAATGTGTCACGTTAACTTGACCTGCAGCATGAATTGTTCTACTGTATAAGTCTCTGCATCTTCTTCAGCATCACACAATATCTATGACGCAGTCAGCTAGCGCGCCCAATTGTAAGATGTGCATCAGTGGGGTCCGACATGTACCACTATTGTACTAGTGTATCTAATATGTAGCTGTAAAGCGCCAGAGCTATTTTATCCTGGAAATGCCCAGTTGTGTGTAGAGATTTTTGAACCAGTGGTCGAACAATGCCTGCAGTGTGTTGCCTACAATGTGGCTGAAAGGTGTCAGAGCATTTTATCGAGGAAGTACCCAGGTGTGTGCATAGATAGCTGCGGCAGTGGCCGTACAATGACAGCATAAACCATCTCATGTTTGGGTTGGATGTTCGTGATTTTCTCTCCTCTCTCTCCTATCCGGTTGTTTTACGATTCATGTGCCACCTTGTGAAAGAATGACCTGGAAATCTTCGCCTCTCCTTTACCTTTCTCCTGTCTCCCCCCCCCCCCCCCTCTGTCTCACTCCTCTCTCTCTCGTCTACACCTCTCTCCTTCATTCTTGTTTTTGGTGTTCTTCAGATAATGATTTGACTGGTTGGGGGGGGGGGGGGGCAGGCAGGGTATGTGTGCGTGTGTGTGTGTAAGTGTGTGTAAGTGTGTGTAAGTGTGTGTGTGTGGGGGGGGGGGGCACCTTTATATGTGTGTGGAGTGGGGGGTCGTCGAGAAGAGCCATGCAGCTGTGAGCACTGCTTGTCCATATTTTACAGTGTTACGCTGCGTGTACGAACTTAGCAAGTAAGGGCAGCGGTCCCGAACCTTCCACTGGCTATGTTCATTCCATCAGATTTCTCTGTCCACAGCAGTACGTTTTGTAAAACAGCTTGTGTTGTGTTGCTTGAACCTCACTGCTCAAAAGCAGTAGTACTAATTATTGAAGATGGAGTTGGGCTAATTTGTCAGACACTAGGGACCGGCGGATTCTGCTCGAAAAGCAGTGAAATTGGCAGAACCATACAAACCCTATGGCAGGCAATTCCTCGAATTCTGCTCCACTTTTTTTACCCACATACCAAACATGCATGAAACTTACCAGAAAAAGTACCGAATTCTGCCAATTTTTCTGCCGGCAGAATCCGCCGGACCCTAGTTTGTCCAGCCAGTATTATTACCAGTCCTATCACCAACTACTCCCTGGAAATCTCAAACTATTCTTCAGCAGAAATTGATCCTTTGGCATATAGATATGTTACAGTGTCTTATTTCTCCCAATCCATGTTTGAAGTCAGCCTTGAATCGGCTTAATGGGAATATCTAATCCATTTTTTTAAATATTTTTACGAGATAGATATTTATGTTGAAATTCATTCGCAATCCAGTGCTAAAACTTGTCGATGTAGACAAGAGAGCTTGGAAGCTCAGGGCCCTACGCTATGCTTTTTTGCCTACCTCATCGTACATGTTATTAAACTGATGGAAATGTTTTTTTCCGTTGATTCGCCACATCATTGTATTGCAAAAACGTTTCGATCAGTTTAAATATGAGTTAGGCAAAAGTATTTGTAGAATTTATTTCGGATTGTTATTTTTCTCTAATTTCATCCACTTTTGGTTTGCTCCTTCTTTTCTTTTTGATCTTCTTATACTGTACATCAACACATTTTGGCCGATGAGAAACTTTGGCCGATGAGAAACGAAACTTTTCGCCGTCATTAAACTTTGGCCGATTGGAGTTTTAAAAAAATCGATCGGTATTTTTTGCTCTCACATGCATCGCACAGTTTCCATGTGCGCAGCTGCAGTAGCATGACGCGAATCAGCACGATTAAGCCTCCTATGCTCATTTCTTGCATTTGTGTCGTCCGACGTTTCCTGTGACCGGCGCTGACTCTGCTGATCACGGGCGTTCTGGACTCGACGGGATGTCTGCCCTGACGTTTCCTGTGACCGGCGCTGACTCTGCCGATCACGGGCGTTCTGGACTCGTCGGGATGTCTGCCCTGACGTTTCCTTGGACCGGCGCTGACTCTGCTGATCACGGGCGATCTGGAGTCGACGAGATGTCTGTCCTGACGTTTCCTGTGACCGGCGCTAACTCTGCCGATCACGGGCGATCTGGACTCGACGGGATGTCTGTCCTGACGTTTCCTGTGACCGGCGCTGACTCTGCCGATCACGGGCGCTCTGGAGTCGACGGGATCTCTCTTCCGACGTTTCCTGTGACCGGCACTGAATCGCTCGTTCACGCTTATTTTGGAGACGACGGGATTTCTCTTCCAAAGTATGTTTTTGCTGACGCATCCTATCACCTATTCGGCGTCTATTCTAATTTAATTTCCTCCTCGTCTCCCTATTTCTTTCCAAATCTCCCTCTATATCAGGGAGTCGTATACATAATACGACGAATATTGGTACGGTACGGGACAGATACGGGAGCCAGCAAATATTGTGGACAGCTGTTATGTACAATCCTGTAGAGCCTTTGTAGTCACAGATACGGGACAGATACGGGATAGCTCCAGGCGTGACACAAACACACAAACAAACACCAAATTAAATCTGTGTGGACCCTGGCTAGGACCAGACGTTACTGAAGTAACGTCTTCTGCATAGCTACGGGAATAATTATTATGAATTTCAGTGTTGTATTTGTCGATGGGGATATTTCCGAATTTTGTCCTACATTTAGCGCTAAAGTAAGCGCTGAAATTCGAATTCGTGCGAATTTCAGCGCTGAATATTTTGATGGGATATTTCCAAATTTTGTAATTTCTTCCTTTATTTAGCGCTAAAGCAAGCGCTGAAATTCGCGCTTAAGTAAGCGCTGAATTTGTCGATGTCGATTTTGTCGTTTTTGTCAAAGGTGAAGTGTAATTTCTTCCTTTTTTTAGCGCCATAGTAAGCGCTGAAGTTCGCGCTAATTTCCGCGCTGAATTTGTCGATGGGGATATTTCCAAATTTCTTCCTTTTTCTAGCGGCAAAGTAAGCGCTGAAATCTGCGCGAATTTCAGCGTTGAAATTAACAGCAAATTGTTGGGATGAATATTTTTTTCCGTTTCAGCACCTAATTCATCGCTGAAACTGGCACCAAATTCAGCGCTGAATGTTTTTCTTTTTTCCCAGCTAAAGTCCGCACTGAATTTTGAACCAAAATAATTGGTCCAGCAATAAAAGCAACGCTGAAATTGATGATTTATCCAGTGTCAAGAAAGGGCAAAATGTCGTGTTGAAGTCACTAAACTAAACTCTATAACTACACAGAACTCTTAGGTTTGAAATGTGCAAGATGGTTTTCACACTGATCTACATTGTAACTCTTCCCTGAACATGCATCCATGCTGAGGAAACGGCAATGACATCAGGGGATCAAATTGGGCATATTTAGGATTATGTTTCATACTCGCTTCAGTGTCACGTCCTTATTAATTTGTTTTTCGTGTTGATATTTTTTGACTTGTTCCAAGCGCAAGATGAAGCAGTATCCGCATTGACATCTTTCAAGCGATGCCATGCCAATATCTATCTGCACCAATAACATCCAACAATAGGCCAATGGTGGACAGAATGACCACCGGGTAGTAAAGGCAAATTTCCTTTGGGTAGAAAATCAATGAGAGAGAGAGAGAGAGAGAGAGAGAGAGAGATTGATAGAGAGAAAATTCAACAGAGGTACATGTAGAAGTAGATTGCTTGCAAAGCTTTAATGTGTAAATTGGCCCAATGGTTTATCCCGAAAAGTGTCGAAAGCATAGCCAGGAATTGAAAACGTAGACTTAAAAAAACTAACTTTACGTCGTGTATGATATACAGTGCATGATACCTAGTTGAAAGTAGAACAGCATGTAGTCGGTAGTCAGCACATGAATGCTTGACTAGACATGGATTTGGTCTAGAGATAATGGTGACGTATACGACTCACCCTCATAACTGTGTTGCACTTTCAGTGCATGGGCTTCTGCAACTGAGTGTTACTCATCCACGCAGCCACTAAAGCAGCACAATGGAATGAAATGATGAGCTGTTCTAGAATTGTTATTTTTATATTTTTTTTACAAAGTCCACATATCTCCAGACACTGGGGTGAATAATGGAGTGTGGCGGGAGTCCTACTCTCATAGCGATATCAGCTGCTTGTGGAAAGCATGTTAGGATTCATTTGGATCTGCTTCGTCTAGTCAACACAGGCGTGGATTTACTTTCCAGTATTCTTCAGCTTGGGTGAACAGCGACATGCGAGTCCACACCTTGATCATTAGCGAGCATCCTGAAATTATTCCCCTCGTCATGACCTTGGAGGTAAGATAGAACCAAGTCAATGCACACATGAACACAAGACATTTCGTGTATGCTTGGACAGGTGGAGCTTGATCAAGCATACTCTGCTGTCATGGTACATAGATGACGTGATTTCCATTGATTGGTACTACCACTATCCTACCACATTGAACATAAAGATTGCGCAAGGGTCCCTTTTGCACCTACGGCACTTCAATACAGGAGCGCCCGCATTCGTCCCTGCATTTTCTGGCGGTTGGGTTCCTGTGGATGTGAAAAAGCTAAGTCTCGCGCGAACCACGATTTATTTGACAATTTATTTTATTTCCTAAGCATATGCCGCAGTGGAGTACAAGGCGTGCCCAGATCTTTTTGTCACGAAATACAGGCATCTACCACTAGAAGTGTAAATTTGACGGTTTAATATAAACGTCATATGTAACATAAGCCTCATATGTAGAGGAGACGGTTTCAAATAGGAAATACTGCAGTAGGTTGCAAACCGAAAGGGCTCAGTGTTCACTTTCTCTCTTGTTATTTTGATTAGAAAACGTATGTCACAGTGAGACTACGAGGTGTTTTTCTCCGAGCCAAATTATTATTTTCCTGGCTCTCCGATGACCGGAAGCGCCATACCAAGCAGGTAAACAGCGGCTCACCTCTCGCCAATAAAGCATGGTATAGCAATGAACACTATTGGACGCACACGCAAGGCTTGTTGTTTTGGCCATCGTGGAGTGATAACAGTTACCTAATTTCAGAACTCAGAGTGAACTTGACGTGCACTCAAAAACCTTTCCGGTTTGGAGCCACCTCTGCGTGGAATGAATACGGGCCAACTTGAAGGCAATGGGCCAACACAAGGGAGTGGCTCAGTTCGATCGACTCTGGCATCAGAGCAAACTTCAACATGCCAGTTCCCTTTCACAAGCATATTTTGAGTGAACAATCCGCACTGATGATCGGTTTGGGTCTACACAATTTTCCTGTCAAACCGTTCCTATTTGAAACCGCCCCCTCTAAAAATGAATTGTAATTATTATAACCTGACTTGTTGACCCATACATCTTCAGAACGGTCTCTGGGCTACACCTATCACAATAAATATAATTATTCCCGTAGCTATGCAGAAGACGTTACTTCAGTAACGTCTGGCGCTAGCCAGGATCCACACAGCTTTAATTTGGTATTTGTT